CAGCTGACTTTGGTGAGGAATAAGAGATCGGAAGCTGATATCTGATGACTGGCCTGGCATGCATTGTATACCTTCCCTTCGTTGAGTGACGATTCATACCCTAAGATCCCTAAGTCTAGTTCTTCGTCAAGTTAGTCAGTAGCTTTGCTTGTGCTTGTGGGCAGAATGTTGTGATAAGGCAATCCTTGGATGGACGTTCGGCAGATGAAACCTGTCAGCTTTTCTCGCGTTTGTTTCTTCAACTTTACCGGTCCGATCGTTGGCCATCCGGTCTGATCGTTGGCTCCTTTCGCTCCAGCCGAACGAGTGGGTTTGGAGGGGTTTGTTTCTTGAGCCTATCGCGTAAAGAGTCCCAAACCAGCTATGTATGTGATGCTATTTGCAAACCCTCAGGGAGGTCTCAGACTTGTTGCTTCAACATGCTTTTTTTTGGATGCTTTGTGAGCGTCCGACCTTGGACTCGTTTTGCAACATAGCCAAGTGTTAGTTGTCCTACTAACATCTCTATCAACTCCACTAGTGAGAGCATCGGAGCATCTCATCGCAGCCGAGCTTCCCAAACCCGCGGAGCCGAAGCCCCCGGGCCGACGACGGCCGAGGCCAGTATGCCGTTCCTCGAGGCGAAATCCAGCTCGCCGTCCTCGTTGCTCGGCAGACAGCTGGATGCGACCGGGTCTAACGGGTCACAGAGAACAACGTCTTGTAGTTTGCTTGATCTGTCTCAATCATTCTCAATCTATATATATATATATATTTTTTTTTTTGCGACTTCATCCTTTAAGTTTGAGCCTTAAACAATCGCTTTGGCCCCCCAAACCTTTGGATAATGACAATCAGTCACTTTAACCTTAACCCGGTCATTTTGAGTAGCCTCAGACTGTGAGTTGTTCCCAAGATGTCACATCTTTCAATGTGCAGCTGCCCGAAAACACCACCTGCCCGGAGTCCCAACGCGTGGGACCGGTGCGCACAGGTCAAGGCCACCCTATCCCTTGATCCGGGGTCTCAGCAGGTGCGATGCTGGCTGGGTGGATCTGCCGTTTCTTTAAGGGTCTTCAAGTAAGTGGTGCACGTGGATGTTCCTCAGCTCCACCACCCAAGGTAGGTGTTGCTGTTGTTTCGACATGGTGTTTTCATGTGTTTTCAATCCATGCCACTATGGTACTATGGTTAGTTTTGATCCAGAAAAATCCAGATCTCAATCAGGGACGCTCCCGAATGACCAAATCCGTTGTTTCGGGGATGGTTGTTAGTTGTTCATAAACTAGTTGTTTTTTGATGGAGACGTTGACAACGACCGCAGAGTCACTTGGGAGAGCGTTTTGCTGCGTGGATTCAGTGGGGTGGGGATAATGACATCCGTTGTGGATGATACGGCAACGACATTGCTGCGTGGATCATTGTGCAACGAGATTGCTGCCCGGATCATGCTGTCATGATGCAATGGTCTTGCTGCGCAATGTTATATAACTATATGATGATATGTCATGTAAAGTCTCCAGCATAGATATGGTCGAGTTTGTCACACCCACACATAATTTGGATATGTTTACGGGATATACTAGTTGCTGATGGTAATCGTTGTCAACGTTTTGAGCTCACTGATGATTTGGTTTCTCTTGTGTAGTAGGTCACATCTTTTCTGTGGCCTCTTCTTGGAACTTGCTTTAAGCGCCAATAATAGAATAGCAAAATGTTAATAAGATACCCCACAAAGTACCACGTCAAGCAATCCAATGTGTGTTGGCCTGCTTTTTCCCACCTGTCAGGTGAGGGCTGTTAGATTTTAATGTTAGCTGCCTCGCGTCCCGCTTCCGCCGCCTCGTCCTCCTCCTCAGCCCCGCCTCCTCAACCGCCAGCCCTCGACAGCAGTGTTCCCCGCCGGAACTCAACCGCGAGTCAGAAGATATGCCAGATAGAATGTCAGAAGATAGGCAAGACAGAATGTCAGAAGATAGGCAAGACAGAATGTCAGAAGATATGCCAGAAAGGATGCCAGAAAGAATGTCAGAACATATGCAAGAAAGAGTGTCAGAAGATATGCCAATAAATTTTCAGAAGATATGCAAGAAAGAATGTCAAAAGATATGCAGATACGACAGAAATAATGTCAATAGATTTGCCTGAAATTATGTCAGAAAGAACGTCAAGAAGATATGCCAGAAAGAATCGAATGTCAGAAGATATGCAGATATGCCAGAAAGAATGTCGAACGGATTCAAGAAAAAAGGACGGTCAGAAAGAAAGTCAAAAATATTTTCACAAGATATGCCAACAGAATGCCAGAAAGAATGTCAGACGATATGCCAGAAAGAATGTCAGAAGATATGCAAAAAATACCAGAAAGATTGTCAGAAAATATGTCAGAAATAATGTCACAAGACATGTCAGAAGATATGGCGACAAAAATGCCGAATATGTTTCATTACATGCCTGAAGACTTGTCAGATTGAAGTGTCATGGTGGGGATCATTTGACAAAAATAGTTTTTTCAGTTCTGTTCGGGCCTGAACCAAAAAAGAATGCGTGAAGCAAATGCAAGTTGCTGCGGGATCACTATCAGCGTCTGTTTGTTTGGATACGTTTTTCTACCAGATCCTGAAGCAAGACACAATTCCATCAGCATGCCTGGTTGCCAAAGTATGTTGTCTATCTCATAAGTAATCACAGTACTTTAACGGGGTAGGTTGTGGGTGGGCCTCCACAGGTGTTTTGCGTTTAACCGGGTCGTCGATTTGTTTGGGGGTCGATCCGTGTGTTACCCCATGAAGAGACCTGGCTCTGTAGTGGAGTGGACGTTGTTTGCAAAGATGTTTCCTTATGGAACGCGGCTAACCTCTACTGAGCTGAATATTTTTTGCTGAAAGCCGCCGAACGTGTGTGTATTGTACTCATGCATGATTTTCTCAGTACTACATGCAGTAGTTAACCATAACCAGACAGATCAAGCTAGCCATCTCATTTTTTGGCAGAATTACTACTGTAACTATTTGTATTGCATGTATCTACTTCCGAGCAGTCCCCCAAATGGCCCATGGCCCCTGAATATGGTTCAACATCGGGTTAAATAAACAACATTTACTGAGAAGTGGAGAACATATGTTCTGCAAGTCCTAAGTCACTGGCGGGTACTGTTTGAACGACATTTATTTGGATGCCAAAGTCGCTGCTCAGGAGTTTATAAAAAAATGGCATCATTGCATTTACGATGGTTCTTGGTCAACCAAACATGTGCATACATTGTCGAAACTCCTTTGCACCATGCCGCCTATACGAGTGGTCCAAGGTGTTCATGTGGAGTCTCACGGTGTTTTTCCATTGGGGCATAAGACATTACCGTGGCTTGAGTAGACGACACACACACAACAGTTCTTGCAGATGTGTTGTCTCGTGTCCCTATAGAAAACATTTTGTTCAATCTACAAGAGAAGGATAGACTCAAGGCCTCCAAACACATGCAGAAATGCAGAGAAGTCTCCCAGGTGGTCCGTTCTGAAGGGCCTTTAAGCGAACCATGCGTTTTTTTGTTTCAGTCCATTGATTCGACCATGTTGGCGCCAGGGAGAAAGCCTTGAATGCCAGCCTCCGCTTGTAGTGGCTTGGATGGAATTGCTTGTAGTAGCCTTGAAGCGTCGAATGATGAGGCTTCCGAAGAGTCGATATGCAGACATAGAGCCTCTTCTCAAGCCTACCTGTCGATGTTTATGCCTAGGGACTGAAAACCGGACCCACTTTCAAGACTGACCCGTTCGAAAGCATCCCAAGTCCATGGCCCATTTCCGCTGGTGACTGGTAATACCTTGATGTACCTTGTATGGCTGGTCATTGGGTGATTGCCAGTGATGGTTGTTTCTTGCAAGCAGCCGCTTCAAAGGAACAATCACGTTCATCACCAAACTGGCGTCTGAAAGAAACTCCAGTGAAAACGTGTCGTTCGCACCTGCAACCACTTGATGGTCCGACCCCAAGAGAGGTGCTTGGTGAGGTGTCGATGTATGGAACCTTGGCGTCCTTGTCAGAATGTCTCATTTCACATCTTCAAACAAGAGTTGATCACCCACATGAAATCGCAAGAGATCACACCCTGATTTCCTCCGAAACATTCTTAAACCAGTGCCCAAAACACGATTTCAGGTCAAAGTTTGAACGAAAAATCAACACAAAGCACCCACTTTCAACAGAACTAACATCGTAAACACATCTCAAAACTGTGTCAAGTGTACAACCGGTATATTTCCAGCTAATGGCAAGGATCTGGCTGCCCCCCTTGATAAGACAGAGGAATGATGAGGAATGACCTGCAGCTGGTGGAACATGGCATGGCGAAGACAACCAAAGGGAACCTGCACGTACACATTATTTGAACATTTTGAACTGCGTTTGTTCAGGGCTATCCCTTATTGCCTAACGAACATGTACACATGAATTTCGACCTTGCTTTTGTATATCCTCTTATGCAAATGTATTTATTCTAGTCTAATGTTGACTCTTGTGGATATACAATTGACGGCTCAGCGAGACAAACTCTCCGTGTTTCACGGTCTCAGCCAGATGACCCTCCTGACCCAGGCGCCAGATGACGCGAAACCAGGCGCTGAGGGCCGAGCTCTTTGAGCTCATGATTCGATATTCTTCTCCTAGCTGGAGGGGCACCTGGAGTGGCACGAAGCTTCGACCATTGCCGAACAAAGTCACCTGGAAATCTGCAAATTCGGCTCTGGATCAGATGGAGAAAGATATTGAAACCAACTATATCGTCACCGCTGGGGATGTCTACTCAACCTGAATCCGGCAAGTTGTGTGTTCGTTGGATCTATTTGGAACCACCACCTAACGCCCTCATCTGAGTTTGAAGTATGTATTGTTTCTCCTAAGGGGTGAGCCATATTTCACAAGTGCTCTTCAGTCAAGAAAAACTTGCAGTGATGCAAACTGTAGAAGCGGTGTGTGTGTGTGTGTGTGTTGGACCTTGATCAATAACTCTATACAACTCACATTCGATGGATGTTTGAATTGTCAGAGAGGAACATTCTTGAACACACTGACACCCTGGCATTTGTCTCCATCTTTGATGCTGGGATTCTCCATTATACATGTTTGGCTATGTGGGTGAGACTTGGGTTTCGTTTTAGACTAGCATGCCTTGCAAGAGTGAGACATGTGTGCCGTCTTGAAATCTCCTCGTTTGCTCCTCCTGTCTCCGCGCGCCCTTCTTCCCGTGTGGCTGCAGAATGCACCATACGAGATGGTCGTAGGATTCTATCCAATTTGATTAATATGTCCTCCCGGATTGAGGTCGTTGAGGATCCCAAAGGTCAACAAACATTCAAGCAAGATATTCCTAACCAACTACATTAAACTCAAATATGTCCAACATTCAAGCAAGACATTCAACGTACATTTAAGTAGAGAGAGATTGAAACTTCGGGGTGCGGTCATCCAATATCCAAGCCTCAACAGAACCGCATAGATGTTTGGCGTGGGGCTTCTGATCAGCATTCAACATTATTGAGACTCGCCAACCCGAGATTGGAAGATGGTTTGCCGCTTTCTTGGCAGGCTGGCATGTTGCTCATTCAGCACGATTCACTCAGAAATGATGGTGTATAGAAGTGCTTTAAATAGGTTGAGGTGTTCTCAGCACCCGTAATTGTCCATGTGTTATATGGATATTATGGCACAAACAAAGGGTTCCCAATGGCAGTAAGCCAGCTGATTGCTGTGATGTTTAGGTCAAAAGTGAGATACTGGTGGATCACTTTCAATGTCTCTGGGTGGCGGAGAGTCTCCGGGTGGCGGAGGTCCCCCCGACCCAACGACCCACATCTCCGACTGGAGAGGAATACGAGGCGGTGAGCGGCTGTCCAGCTGGCAGGAGCTAAGAACAAGTATTTATATCCTGAAAACAGGTTTTCCAATTTTCCAGGGTGAATGTGATTCCAGACCCTGGCGCTTCAAGAGAGCGACCCAACGAGATGAAACAAAACCAGGGCCCACAGTTGGAGTGGTGAACTGACACGACCCCATATTAAATTAAGCTTTGAGGGACTATGAAGAGACACCTGTTGGGGTCCCTCCTATCTTTTCGAAAGCCTTTCTATACTGTTGTAGACTGTGCCGACGTGAGTCTAGAACTGTCAGGTTTGAGGGTGGACCAGTTTCTGTGTTTATATAAGTGTTTTGCTTTCAGACAAGCTAAGACAAGAGGTCAGTACATGTTTACAAAATTTTACATTCAGCAATAATTAGTTCTAGGATTCTAGGAGAAGTTGCAATAGTTCTGCATGGGGATATCACGCAATGTTTCTTTTGTTGCGAATATGCTTGTTAGGCAATAAACATGCAGTCACTGGCTGCAGCGTCCAAGTATCACTGGAAGCTGGTTCACTGGGCCTTCTTTACTCAATAGAGGCGTGGCATGGGCCTGCAGGCTCCTAGTTTTCGGGGCGTTCGATCCGATGTCAGCTGCTGAAAATGGAACCGTTGATATTCAGATCGACAGGTCTTTCGCGCAGTGAGTTGCAGGGTGATCTATTACTTTGAACATATTTGCCCATGTAGACCTGTTACCTGTTACATGTTTCCTCAGACCAGTTTGCTCTGAACATCTTTGAACACTGAGCCACACGGCCTTATCCGCAGCTTTGAGGCACCGAACATGACGGCAAAGAAGGCCAACATTTACATGGAGCGTCGCAGGATCTGAACTGAACCGTCGCACCTTGGCACCGTCGCACCTTTTTCCACTTAACAAAAGATCAGGGTGCTTCCCATGTCATGTCGCACCCATCAGGTGGATGTTCGGGGACGTCCGAGACCCCACCTGTGTTGTTTCACCTCAGTCCAAGAGCCACCAGGTGCCACCAGGGGCGCAGTTCCGAGAAAAAAGGAACATCAGAACAGACGAGACTGGCAGCTCTCGAAGGACAAAGAGGTTGCAAAAAGAATCATCATCACGACGAGGTTTTCTCACAATCATATGTTCGGTGGACATTGTTCCAGCCGAACGCCGATTTTGTGCCATGGAAAAGGCTCCAAGTCTACCACAAGAGAGGCTGGGTGGTTCGCAAGTGAGAGACATATGATGACACACGTCATGATATGAATGTCATGAACCTGGATGAACCTGAAAAGCTATTTTGCAGGAACTGCAAAATCACTTGTGGTTGGCATTGGAAGACAGCTCTTAAGCACTGGTGAAGACAAAACTGGATATGCGCTGTTAGAGTTTAAGTTTCTCTGGGGTTGTGTTGCTCCACATGCCTAAGCCTGTTGGATGATGTTGGATGCATGTTGTTTGCTTTGATTGGTAGGAAGATGGGCGTTGAAATCTTCCAACTTAAGTGCCTGATGGCGCTCTCTCCCGGGCAACCCTGCGACCTCGATCGAATCGCATCGAATCGTGCAGGTACAAGATGTGCAACATCTTGTGCAAGCCTCGCAATGGGTCCTGATCCTGGACATGTCATCAAAAAACAAACAACAGCTGGTGCATCGTGCATGCGGTGAGCGGCCCAAAAACACCGCTTGAGCAGAAACACCATCACGACCTCCACATGACCCCGCGTCTCGTTTTGGACGACTCGGCCGGGCTGGCCGGCTCCTTCCTTTCCTTCTTTCGCGCCAGCGGGATCCATTGGTCCAGAACTACTATAAAGTATGCTATAATAACATCTGAATCTAATAACATTTTACATGTTACATCATATATGACCATAAGCATTAACATTATTTATCGTCGACGGAACTGCTTAGGTGGACCGTGCAAAGCTTTTGCAATGCAAACTACTCTGCAATTTGCACACAGAATTGGAGGCGAAGACTGCACGAAACTGCTCATGAGATTGCGAAAGACCATGTGTGCCGTTCTTTGGTGCCTTTTGTGTTTTATGTTCCATGCCCTGTTTCAGGGTGGGGTGTGTGAGAGTGAGAGCAGTTTGGGGAGATGCCGTTGGTTTCTACATGTTTCTACTGCGCCATTCACGTACATGCATGTCGACCTCGGTGCCGAACTGGGTAATTGCCCGCGCAGGTTAGGCCACAAGCAGACAAAATGTGTCAGGACCTTAAAGATGTTGATGAGACGCAGGCATTTTGCGGCTAGACTCTGAACGTTTCAAGTAAGATAACTTCATCATGTTCAGCCATGTTTTAGGCTTAAATTTCGGCTTAAATACAAAAATCGTCAAATGTGTTAGTGTATCTACATGTATCCTAATCTCACTGTAGATGTTTGTTTGCTTCTTGACGCCATCCACAACTTCAACCACAGTGACTACATTCCTGGCAGATAAAGTCCACTACAGAACGCAGTCAGGACATCACTCGAAAACTACGGGCTCATCAGTGTTTTTTGTTTGTTTTTTTACAGCCATCTTTTAATGTGGAATATTGCAGAAAACCCTTACAACTTCCACTTACTCTCAAGAATGAACCCTCTTTTTCTCCTTTCTCAAAGTACCCTACCCAGGTTTGTGTGCTCCTTCATCCGTGAAAGGTCTCTCCATACGCTGAATTCAAAGAGAAAGTCTTTCTGGAGACTGCGCGACTTGACCGGCGTGAGTCCAACGAGCGTGCTGGCGAGCATGTGAGTTCCTTGCGTTCCGTGCGTCTCCCGGAAGACATAGGTCAGGGGGACGCCAAAACATTCTATGAACTAGTGATAAAAGGTTAAAGATATTCAAACGAAAAGCACCATTTGCATGCCATGTCAGTCAAACAGTCGCTCTAAAAGGACCATCAAGTATACCTCGGAACATCTTGGAACTATACACAAATCAACATGTCAATCAACGCACCTTAATATTGCGAAGAGAAGTGGCAGAGTATGACAGGTGTTATTCTGGGGCGCACGGGTAAACACGCGCACGGGTACGAATGCCTAATTATTGCACGAAGAACGGCTAACACAAATATATATATATATATATCGGGGAAATGTGTTTGGTCACCCCAGCGTTTTGTGGCATCTTGCTTCTAAGACAGGTTGACTGCTGGCCAAGAGCCACAAGCAGCATGGACTTGAAAAGCGTCCATGATATGTGACATGGGTAGCTTCATGTCAGCTCCCACATTGGTCTGTACAACATATTCTGCTACTTTGCTGCTCAACTTGTCTTGTTCCACAGCTGTTCAACTTGTTTTGTTCACTTGTTTCTCTTTCTTGGCGTTTCTGGGTGTCCTCCTCTTTGTAGATCCAAGCTTGGATGCTGGCCTACCCACACGGATGCCTACCTTGCCCACAGCAGTCTCATCCACGGCACAGCATATTCCTTTGCCACCAACTTTGTTGATGTTATTGTGCTCCATGTAGGACTTGAGGCATGCATGGTAGAGATTCTGCCACTGATGGATGGCATAGTCCCTAATCCCATGTGCATCACGCAATTCTTCCTTCATTCGCTTCAGCTTTTCATTGCACTTCACGAAGCAAAAAGTGCAAGAAGGCCATAAGGGATTGGCTTCTGACACCAGCAAGGGCTGGAACAGTAACAGTCTTGCGAAAATGCCCATGGGAGAAGTTCTCAGTGCAAACCCAGAAATGGTTATTGTCTGAGTCACCCTTGCGTAGTGTGCATGAGGCTTTGCAACGTGAGCACCTCCATGTCTTGAGCATGCCATAGTGCATAAACACCATCAAAGCCCTCAGGGTCATTGAATCCTGTAGATCTTGGACACCATGAAGGGATAAGGGATCATACATGATGTGCTTCTGGAAGGCCGCGCTGGACTGAAAATGTTAATCTCTGACCCCCTTGCGAAGTGTATTTAAGTCCATTGCAGAAGCACAGCTGAGGATAAAGTCAAATGGCTGCAAGTGGTGGAGGGTGCTGAAACACGCCATATAAATTAATTGTATGAGCAAGACCACCCCGGATGTTTCCAACATTTCACCAAGATTCTTGGGAAAGAAATGATTGCACAAAAAGCATCACACGAGATTAATACAAATCTAGAGATTCTCATGATTTGAATTCGGTACGACCCGACAGACCAACGTCCGCCCATTCAGTGACTGAAATGGCCAGGTTTGGCCGCCATGTTTCAGCGAAGTTGTGCTTAATAACAACTTGAAGGTCCTGAGTCCTGTTGTATGCGGGACCGCCTTGATCAAATGCACCTTCCTTTCACCCCACATCCAGGCCCGACTCCTCCCGCTTCCTCGCCGGTGGAGTCGGGTCGGTTCCACCATCGCCGAGGACCGTGGTGGACTCCACCGTCTCCACCCGTGGCCAAGAGTCGCGACCCGAGGCGAGAGGCCTAACCGCAGAGAGGTCAGACAGAGCTGCTAACCTGCGGGGGGGGGGGGCTACGGCTAGTGACAGGCTCTGGATTCGAGCAAACTCTCGGATTTTGGGATTGCATTGATTCCTCATTTATACAGAGGGGAGTGTTTTAGGATTTGGATTGTGACATGATCCTCATATACAGAGGGGTGTCTTATGATTAAAAATTTGAAGAGTCCACATTATGACTGTGGTCCACTGCACCAAATAGCAGTGGTTTCACCCAAATGAGGATTGAATTTTTGCGAGTAGGAGCCTGCTCGGTTCCTGGCTTTGCATGGCCTTGAAGATGCTCAAAACGCCTCTGCTGGTGGGGTCCATACACTGTCACTAACCGCTCCAAGAATTCCGCCCGCACTGAAGGTGCGCACTAGGCGTAGTCAACGATCCAACAGCGCAGTGAGTAATGGAAATCGATGTGAACAAGTGGATTAAACCCCAGTCTTTGATGTGTTTTCGAGGATCTTGAGACACATTGGTTTCGATGGAACACTTTCCCAATCTTGCCCATGCCACGCTCCTCGTGTTGATTCCTTGCAAGTTGAATCCAAGCTGACCCAAGGTTCATCATGTTGGTCCCAAATTCAGCACAAAACAGTCCCTATCCACCTGGTGCGGGCGGCAATGGCCGCGGAGCGACGCGCATGGCATTCAATATTGGGGAACCATGTCCTGTAGTTGGACTGGACAGAGTAGAATTGTCACACACAGTTGTGCGACATGTCCTGCAAAAAAAATGTTGACATGTTATTCTATTTTATCAGGGAGGCCTGCAAAACACAACATGTGTGTGCTTTCAGTATATGGCCTTGTAAACAATGTTTTTCAATGTCATACAAAAACAGTCATAAACATATCACACCTCATTTGTACCTTGCTTCCAGCACCAAAAAGAGAACCCCAAACAAGCAAAACATCAAAAAAAAACACACGATGAAACATGGTCTGTCCGGTTCACCATGTGTTCATGCTGTGTAGTGGACGTCTGTTTGCTCACATCATGTGTTCATGTGTTTGTTCCGCAGTGCGGAGCTTGGCTGTCCTTTGGTCCTGGTTTGGTTGGTTCAAACGGGGTAGGACGGGGGAGACTCTGGACGGGAGATGTTGAACTTGTTTACCAGGTGAAATGGTTGTCTTTTCTACATTGATAGGACCAATTTAGACCAGTGGAAAATCCACTTGATCAATCCTCTGGTCGATGAATGTTCGAACAGGGATTGATGTCCATTTGATTCAGGCGCGACGCAACAATCCGTTGGTACGAAGTGACCACGGGTGGATGGAACGCAACAATGGGACCCACATGCAGAGATCTTTTTCTCCTGCGGCCCTTGAGATTCCATCGCTAAAGAGGGGTTGTCTTACGATTTCCCGCACCAACAACATCATGATAGGTACAGTATTAACCAAAAGTGACCATATGGACAGTTTCGGCTATATGGACATGTACGTAAAAACATGTAAACACCATTAGAACAAATTATTTAGGTGTAAACAAGTGTGTAAACATGTTCCATTCAAAACCTTTAAATGTGCCGTTTTCTTTTTCCTCCGCTGCTGCATGAGTCAATGTCCAGCATCTTACTCCTCACCATACTGTCGCATATATTTGGCACCTGGTGTTGCGTAGATGTTCATGGACCACGTTGTAGATTTGATGTATTTTGTTGCGATCCCCTTCAATGAATTCGATGACAAAGAAAGGGCCATGCCGCCACGCTGAAAACGCCCAGGTGGATTCCACAACGCGTTCCTTTTGCTTCAAACAGTGCCAGACTGTGCGCGGGTGCTCGACGAGGTGACCTGAGGTGAAGTCCGGACACGACTGGAGTGGACAGCACCTTCTTCGACTTCCAAGGTTGGAATGGCCTGGACACACTTATGCTGGGTACAGAGCTAAACACTGCTAAAGACAACTACAGTATCAACTTGTATTTCGAGACATTGCTCCAAACAGTGACTTATCTGAAAGATTAGATGAGTCTTAGACTTTGGTACCTACAAAAAAAAATGCCCAAACAACATCCACAAAAACACTTGACACGCCTTGGTCGAGTCGCACAATTATAACAAAGTTGGTGGATGGGAAAATAACACATGTAAAACACTGCACAACAAAGTGGTGTGCGGTGCAGTCCACCTTTTCGTTCAGATTGCTCGCTCACGTTTTAAAAAATAGACGCTCGCGTGAATCGCTCCACCGAGGTTGGAGCGCGAGAAGGAGTGGCGCTTGGAAGAGGCGTGCTTTTGACTCGGTGACGAGTCCAGGGGCTTTCCGAAGGGATCCAACTTCGGGGAGTTGGGAGTAGTAGTAGTGGCCACCACCTAATAGCGATGGCCTCCAATCTAATAGCGATGGCCTCCACCCAGTAGCGTCCTACTAATCTAAAAAATGACAACTGCCCCCCATGTCCGATGAAACTGGTGGTCTCCTCGGGGTGTGCGGTTTGGTTTTTGTTCGCCGGGACTGCGCGAAGCGTGCCAGTGCATTTGTCAGGTTTGGGACCTCTGTCGAAATCACCTTTCCATGTGAGCGAAGGGCCAGTCGCCTGGATCCGAGCATAGGGGTCGACGACCACGAGGCCCCAGAACTCTAAGCTTCTAAGCCTATAGCTCAAAGCTTGTGAGGGATTCGGTGATCAGCTTGTGGTTTCCCAGACTGGTTTGTTTGGCAATTTTTGGGCCAACCTGCCCCCATCAGATCCTCAGAGAGGATCGGAGGCTTAAGCTGGCCTCACGAAGGGTCAGCTCCGGTCCTGACGGTGAGGACCAGTCCTGTGAAACAGGGATGCTCCCAGATGTTCGAAAAAATGAGCCTACAGCAGAAAGAGTTGTTGTGTGTGTGTGTGTCACACTCTGTTTCCAAGAGATTTTACACGCAGGGGGGCAGAGAGGACTTGCAAGGCTCTGCCCAACGAAGCTCCTTGCAAGATCCTAGGAAGCGGAAGCTGATCACTTCCGTGTACCTGCACCTTTTGAACTACGGAAATTCAAAGCCGCCGGGCATACGGAGAATTACCCCACACAACCCCCCCCCCCGCCGAGTTCTCTACTCCCCACCTAATTAGGGTAACAGAGGGAAATGGTACTCGACACACTTGTGTGTCGGTGCCTTTCCCTCTGCTATCCCTGTTCTAGTCTACTCTACCCGGGCGGTTTAAGACTAAAGTCCCGCTCCCTAACTAATGCACCTAATTAGTTTCCGCTAAGTAATCCATAACTCTAGAGTGCTAAGTATTCAGACACACACATGGACACACATATGTACATACACCTCCCTGCCCCGCTTTCGTTCTTGCGCTTTTGGTCGTTTGTTGGGCTTTCTTTCAGGCTTTTTAGGTGGTTCTTGAGGCTCGTTTCCTACCCCAGTCAAGGGCTAAGTATTCACTTTTTTTTCTACTCCTACCTTTCTCTCTTGCCCTCTTAGCGCTGCTCTTTCTGTCTTTCTTTTCCTTTGTTTCTAAGGCTCTTTAGGTACCTATTCGGGTCCTCCGCGCGAGCGCCGCAAAGCGGCATCGTGTGTGTGTGTGCCCCTTGTAGTCACATGGATTCTTTTGAATTGTTTTTACTCAGCAGGGGAACTGGGCACTCTGTGGCTGACCCAGCTCAACGAAGCTAGGTCACAGAGTGGGATATTCGGACTGATCATCCCAACGTACCTGCGATTTTTCCGATTTGTCTGCATGGCATGAGGCTAAGCCCAGAACCTCAAAGACTTGGTACTTCATGTTGCCGCAGTCACGCACGGAACGCTATCACTTCGACCTGATCGCCGACCTCGACCTTGTGCTTTGGGCCTCCTTTCCTTTTAAGACCTCCAGGATTCGGTGGCTTCCTACTGATACTCTTAGGAAATGGAACCCTAGGCCGGCGTGTGGCACCGCTATCAGTTCAGTACGTATATCCATAAGTGTGTGTGTGTGTGTGTCAGCCTCTGTAACTAAGAGTTTTGAATGCAGGGGGCGTGACGGTCGATTTCCTAATCGCGCCAATGAAGCTATGGAAATCGACTGGATGGACGTTTGGACGCAAACTTCCGTACCTGCACTTTCAACTGTTGACCACGCTGTCCACTCCTTTGGTTTGACTCATGGTTTTTCATGTGGTCCTTCCCCAAAAACAGGTTTCCCACCGCAGTTCTGCAACCGCTGATCGCTTTCGGCTGCCGTGCTTTCGTGAGCCTCCCACCTCAGATGAGAGAAACAATTTTTAAACATCTTCAAGTCCTTGGACCTTTCACCTTGCGGTTCTTTCGCCTTCCTTCCACTTGGGAATAGAGTTAACTGAAAACCAATGTCAGAGTGTCACACTCTGTTGCCAAGAGTTTCTACATGCAGGGGGGCAGAGAGGACTTGAAAGGCTCTGCCCAACGAAGCTCCTTGCAAGATCCTAGGAAGCGGGAGCTGATCACTTCCGTGTACCTGCACCTTTTGAACTTTTTTCAAGCCGTGACTCGACTTTTCCATTTTTGTTTCATGGTTCTTGCATGATACTTCCCCCCCAAACCCTTTCTTGCAGCCGCGCCGCGCTGACGTTCGACACCGCTGTCCTCGCGCGCTGCAGATGTGCATAAACCTTTGTTAAACAATACTTTCCCGCGGACCTTGCCACCTTTCTGTTCCATCGCCCTTTTCGACCTGGGAACTGAGTTAACTGCAAAACCAATATCAAAGTGTGTCCTACCCTGTTTCTAAGGGTTTCTACTCCACAAATCAAGATCATACACATTGCAAGCAGGGGAGTCTCATTCACGCTGGATGACTCACGTTCATTCAACCTATCACTTTCAACTCACCCATGCTATGAAGTTTTCAGACTTCAGCTTCACAGATGCGCGTGCCACTACACCTATCTTTCTCGCTTGTCCTTTTCTTTTTGTTCTTTCTGTCTTTCTTTCCTTTTTTCTAAGGCTTGTTAGGTGACTGCTCAGGTCGTGGCGACAGTCTCACCCACGCAGGCGCTGCTGCTCCCTGCAACTGCTGAAGACAACAACTCGCCTCTCCTCTCCTCTCCTCTCCTCTCCTCTCCTCTCCTCTCCTCTCCTCTCCTCTCCTCTCCTCTCCTCTCCTCTCCTCTCCTCTCCTCTCCTCTCCTCTCCTCTCCTCTCCTCTCCTCTCCTCTCCTCTCCTCTCCTCTCC